TTCGCCAATACGGCCCGGCTGGGGGCTCTCTTGTCCCTTTAACCGGGCGGGGCCGCCTGGGGGAGGGGCGCATGCGCGGGGAGCGTCTCTCTGACTCCGGGCATGGAGCGGAGCCGGCGGCAGCGCTCGATTCAGCCCGCGGGCGTGTGAGCTCAGCGCGCGCCTGGGGCAACCGGAGCGGAGGTGTCGCCTGGGCTCTAGCCGCGACATCAGCGGTCCCGGGACGGCCTCGGACGGGGGCTTTGTTACTCCGCATGCAGCAGCTGCCGCAGCCCCCTGCCCAGCCGGTTCTCCTCGCAGCGGCAGCCAGGGGACGCTGGGCCTTTGTCTCCTGTTCCCCGGTCTCTGTAGCCTCCTGTCCGGCAACCTCACCAAGAGCCACCCCCAGGACTGCGCTTCCTCCGCTCTCCGGCTCTAGCAGCTGGCAACAGCTTCCTCCTGCCCCGGCAGGGGGGCCGGAGCCTCGCCGGCCCTGGTCGCCGGCCCCCGTTGCATTGTGACCCCTCCTGAGCTCAGCAGGCACAAGCAGGAGCTTAGACTGAAAGCGGCGATGGCATTTGAGGCGGGTATCCAGAACTGCCCCTGGGCCGGCTTGCTCCTGGAGCGAACAGAGCCTAGGGGGCTCATTGCCTTATTTTGTGGCCATTCGCTTTTGTTTGGGTCTAATGGTCTTATTGTCTAAGGGTGGCTGCAGTTTCCCCGGTGACTGGCAGGCAACGTCTCTAGCAGGTTAATTTTCCTTCACCGAGACAAATATTTTGAGGTGGTATGAGCCTATTGTCAGTCAGGTGTGTGTCCTGCCCCTTAGCTCTGCTTGGGTGTAGTACTTCACCGATCTGCTCCTACTGATTGTAACTGCCAATCTCTTACTAGGTCAGTGGAGCCTCTCTCTTTTGTGGGGGGGTGGCCTGATCTGAATATACAGCCCCCTGCTGTCCTTGCTGTTTTATAACTGGACCTTTTCATTGTTCTGCGCCTGTCCGGTTCTGCCTGCTCGATCGAGGGAGAACAAAAAAAAAAAATCTATCTATGGTATGTCTCTAGGCCACTTCGTTTGTTTTATCTGGGCCCTGCCTTGACTCTTCTTTCTGGTTTGACCTGAGGAAACAACCTCCTGTTGGGTAAAATATACCTTGATACTGCACTGTTCTTATGTGAATGAGCCACACCCTTTTTTCCTTAAAGGACCTCTGCACTCAGGCTGCCATGTGCTGCTCTGTCTCTGGCAGGCTGAGGGGGGTAGTGGGCATAGTGTTGTAATCCACCAATTTCCAAAGTGCAGACTGGGATGCCGGGGGGGAAAACGGGGGGCAGTGGCGCTGCTGCCACCAAGCACTCTGAGGCCAGCGAAGAGGCAACTCAGAGAGAGGAGGAGCCCGAAGATGATGGTGATGAAGATCTGCGAGACGGTGGAGTTCCTTTCTTTGTGAACCGAGGAGGGCTACCCATTGATGAGCCCACCTGGGATAGAATGTGGAGACACGTGGCCAAGATCCACCCTGAGGGAGAAATGGTGGCTCAAAGAATTCGACGAGCCACAGACCTACCCAAGGTGAGAATTCCTGAAAGAACTGATACTAATAAATCAAATGACATGGCTTTAGACAGTCCACTCAGAGAATGGTAGAGAAGCTGGGATTGTATTATATAACATGGAAATTCAGATCAATAATCCTGTTGTGGGGGTTTCACTCAACAGAAACAGTTATAAGGGTGTAAAGTATTGGGATTCCATATCAGGGGGAGAGTCTCTGTCCTGGGCTGCTCGGGATTTGGGCTTTGATTTAATAGAGTTTTTCCATTTAATTGTTCTGATACTGTTTGTGCTGATGCAAAAAGCCACATGTCCAGTAACCTTAGAGCAAACGGGGAAAAGCCAGGATTCTGAGACCAAGTACAGAATTGGGATTTAGCTTTTGAGGCAGCCTGCCTGGCCTGAAAGAGGGGATGACAGTGTTCCAGCTGCATTCTGGAGCACTGTGTATTGATCTGAACACTTTGTTCTTAAAAGATTGTAATTAAAAATAATCCAGAAGGGCAACCTGGTAAAAGTACAAGGTGATGGGATCTGTCTGGTGAATAAGGAAACTTTAATGTGTGCATCTTGGAGAAACAGAAAGTAAAGCTGGGATTTATGACTGGTTAAATACTTGAGATGGGGGAAAGCTGGAGGAGTGGGAGTTGAGTAATTATAACCAGGAACAAGCTATAGGCTATAAAAGGAAATACTTAGGTTGGGCATGAGGGACAGTCTTCCCCACAGCAAGGGGAATTTTTGCACTGGAATGGTTCCTGCCTATAAAGGTGGCTCTGACAGAATTAAGAGCAGATTAGAGAACGCTTGTAGAATTTGCGTAGAGGAAACTTGTTGCCGACAAGGAATCAGACTAGATGATCTCACGTCTTGTCTCTTCTGGCCGTACTGCTGAGAATCCTATGAAAAGGGGAACCCAAGATCATGCAACTTAATATTGATGCTGTATTGAGTCCTTTGCGTGTGAGCCTCGTGAGTCTTTGTAGAGGTTGCCATTTTTGTATATGCATGGCTTCTAGTGGTAATTCTAGGGTATATTTAGATCCTCCGATTGAAAGTGCTTTGCAAATATTCACTGTCTTATAACTGTCCTTTGAAATAGATATCTTTATTCCCATTTTTACAAATAGAGACAACTGAGTCAAAAAAGATTAAGTATCTGGGGGCAGCCTTGTTAGTCTGTATCCACAAAAACAACAAGGAATCCAGTGGCACCTTAAAGACTAACAGATTTATTTGAGCATAAGCTTTCGTGGGTAAAAAACCCACTTCTTCAGATGCAGTGACTTGCCTAGGCTCTCACAGCAAGTCTGTGGCAGAGCCAGTAAGGAAATGTTGGAGTTCAGGGGTCCAGTCCCCTGTTTGAATCACGAGACTTACCCATGAAAGCTTATGCCCAAATAAATTTGTTATTCTCTAAGGTGCCACAAGGACTCCTTGTTCTTTTTGCTGATACAGACTAACACGGCTGCTACTCTGAAACTCCAACCCTTGTTTCTCTTCTGTGTCTCTTAAGCATGGTCTGGATCAACACTGAGGGTGTTTCTTTGACCGAAACTTAGCCAAGCATCTATTTTTGGTACCTGCAGCACCATTGTGTAGTAGCCCGGTTTGTGCACTATATTCAGTGAGGCTGGTGCAGAACACATTCTGCCATCTGGGCTCACTGCTCATCAGTCTCAGCATCTTATAGGGAATACAGAGGGGTGAATGTGGTAGGAAGGATTGGGGCAAGGGAATGAGAAGAGCCCATCCTTGCCTGTAGTGATGTTTCCATGTCTCTGAGCACCATTTGTATTGAGATGCACAGAAGTGGGTCTAGTTTCTTTGAAGAACTGATGCAACAGATTAGAATCCTGGCAATAATACATTCCAGGGGAAAATATATTTTGTAAGTTTACTCTGCAGGGCTGGCTCCTGTGAGAGGCTGATGTTGCCCATTAGGTTCCTGAGGCTGAATGGGCCTTGGGAGGGATGCAGGAGTTGCTATAGCAGGATCAGCCCAGTGGCCTAGCTAATCCAAAATCCTATTTTGGATGAGGGTCAGTACAGGATGCTTAGGGGTTGAATTGGGAAGACAACAAAATAAGCTCCACCCCTTGAGACACTGATGTAATCACAGTATGTTGTACAGGTGTTTAAAAACATCATCATGTGATCTTCTGGGGCTTCTCTCTCCCACAGTGGCATGCTGAGCTCTGCCATGTTTGTTAGCCTTGCCTCCCTGATTGGGGGAGGGGAAAAATGGTGTTACACTCTCAAGTAAATGAGCTGTCACTCACTGTAGGCTGTGTAGATTTTCATAATATGTTTCCTCTTTTCCTGTCTTACATAACTAGGTCACTACTGATCAAGTCAACAGTGACACTTACCCAATGTTGATCATTTATCTGAGTTAACACCTCAGTGAGATGAAAAGAGCAGTTCTCTCTCATAGCAGACTCAGGCAGGCAAAAAAAAGCTGAGATTCTAGATCACAAGATGGCAGCTTGAAAGGCAGTGGCAGGATGCCATACTGTTCCTGTATGAATCCTGTAGATACATGGACGAAGGTACGGGGCACAAAAGGAATAATCTGCCGATGGAAAGTTTCCTAATAACTCCTGTCAATTTGCATTTGGCTTGAGCCCTGAAGCCCTGTAGATGATCTCATTATCCATATAAATATCTAGATGTTGGCTCCTGTTAAATTCATGTTAACATGGCTGTTGGGAGGCTGTTCCATCGCTGGCCAGCATTATCACCCAATACAAAATACAGAGAGCAGAGTTGTCTCCTGCTCACTGGTGCTGCACATCCTGGTAAGTAGTCTGGCATTGTCTACAGGAGGTTGCCTAAACTCTTGCTTCACGCTGCTGTTTCCCAGGGCTGTGCCAGTCTGTCACCTGCATGCAAGGGCCCTTTTCGATCCTAGTTGGAGAGTTGGACTAGTAGAGAAATGGAAACTAGTCCAGTTTTTCTATCCCAAGTGGAGTGAAATGTTGTAGTGAAAAGGGTTTGTGACTGCATGCAGTGACACACTAGGACGGCATTTTTGTGACTTTTCTGATGACGGCCCTCTTCAAGCCAGGAAGCAGGGCTCTTCTAGCTGCAGTAGATCAATGGCATTTCCCACAAGGTAACCTTAGTAATTTGCTTGCAGTTTGATTTGAGGTCAGATTGTGACTTCCACATCACAATGGTCAGTTAAGGCCACAACAGGGCACCATCTCTGTGGCCTTGCTTCTCCTAGCCCCTCCATTGCAGGCAGTGTTGGGGGCAAGTGCTGAAACATCTCTTACTTCCTTTAGAAGCCTATTGTTTATCCCATTTGTGCTCATGTGGCAAAGTGAGTGAGGCCTCAGAACTCATTAGTTAATAACGCTTTCATAGCTCTCTATGTGTATATCTCAAAGTGCTTTATGAAGGAAATAAAGTATAATTATCTCCATTTTACAGATGGGGGAACTAATGAGTGTTGACACAGTGACCTCTTGGTCCAACAGGCAGAGGAGGTGCATAGGGTTTGCAGGGATTCCCAGGGTCAGATATATGCATAATAGTTCACCTGTGTGTGGCGTGTGAGGTCTCTACTGAGAGCCAAGAGCCCACCAGGCACCATAAAATGTATGTACAGATAATATTTAACAAGTTGTATCTGTACTGAAAATGATGTTCTTAAGCACTTGGGAGGTAAGGCAGGTCACCAGGAGATGACATACTCTTCTGTCTGAAAGGAACACATCCAAGGCAACAGACGCTTATCTCTGTGTCTGGTCATATGTGTATTGTCCACCTCCCAATGGAGGTCTATTGCACACTGAGCCAGATGCCAGTAGAAAAGTTACAAGAGCTACAAGAAAAAACAAAACCGCATGGTGGGTGTCCTGTTTATGAATGAAGACCAAGGATGGGACTTGTATAACTTGGGAAGCAAAGTAACACTCTGGATCCTTCATGTAGGAGACAAGCTCACAGTGTTGGTCTCCTGGAAGAGGGATCACAGCCAAACAGCTGTAAAGGGCTGTTTGGACTTTGGGTGAACATTGCTTAACAAGACATGAGTATCTAGTTTTAAGTCTATGTTCTAGGATGTGTTATGATTTAATTTTATATGTAACCATTTGTTTCCAATACTTGCTATTACTTGAATATCTATGCTGGTGTGTAAATAAATTTTATACTTAATTTCACTAAACATATCTAAATGCTGTGTGTTAAGCAGAGCAGTGATCTGAGGTGGAACTAGTAAGTTGTGATGTACTGTTTCTCTGGAGCCAACAAATCTGTGCATACTCTGAGTGCCCAATAGATCAGGGGCTGAACACTCAAGGGAGATGGGGGGGGGAGGGGCGGGCTGAGATTGGAGTGTGCCTATTGCTAACCTGTGGAGTGTGCCTATTGCTAACCTTGCTGCTTTTGGTAGAAGAGGTGGTGGTGGTGGTGTCTGTCTGCAGAGCTGATGTAGCATCAGTGGCTCCATGGGTGATAAGGCAGGGAGCAGGTCTGTCTATGCATTTGTAAAGGTTTTGCATTCTAAATGGCAGAGATATAAAGGTGGAAACAAGCAGATTTGTAGCTCGTCAGTGACGGTGGGGGGGGATCTGACAGCGAGGAGCGGTTTCCAGCAGCAGAGAGGAGAAACTAAAAGGAAACCAGTAACTTATGCTGATAATGTGTATCTAACCAGAACCCAGGGAGTTAATTTTAGCTGTTTGTCTCTTCACAAACATTGCACAGAAGTCACTCACTGAAGAAATGAATTAAGGCTAAATGCTAAGCCTGCCCTGGTTTTACCACTTTCATCGGTTCTGCTTCGGAATAATTTCCTGTGACTCAGTATGTTATCACATAGCTTCTAAACCAACTTAGCGTGCATTAGTTTCAGAGACGGCCAAATTCCCTGCATCATTCTTGAGGGGGCTTCCTGTTCCCCTGGGGATAGGAGCTCAAACTGTTGGAGATCTTGTATCTCTTCTACCTCTCCCTTGCAGTGCCTCCCGCTGGGAGAGGTTGAGATAGAAGGAGCTCCTATTTCTACATGTTCCCAGCAAGGGACTGAAGTGAGGTATTTGCTTACAAAGGTTACTGGAGACAACAGCTGGCACACTTTGTTGGTTCTTATGTATAGTCACAGCTTGTCTCCCTGAGAGGTGCTGGAAAATGGACACCAGTCACAAAATGCATCTTCATCAAACTGACTTATGGGGAAAATCTTAAGACAATAAGAGAGATCAAAATACTCAAGAGAAAATCAAGACCTAGAACTTCTTACAGCTGCCTGCTGTTATGTAAATACTGCTGTGGTTGGAGTTGCACAAAACAAACAGCCTCTCTCCTGAGACGCTTGCATCTAAATAGGCAGACACCACCAAATACAATGAAAGGATCAGAGGGAGGGCTCTGTCTCCGTTTAACTTTATTATACAAGGGGAGGGTTACTGCATGTTCCCTGAAGAACGGAACTGACAAAACCGCACTGACACTGAAAGTTGTGGCTTTGGTGTTGGATCCACGTGCAGAGGGCATTAACCTTCCTTAGTAGGCTTGGGGAAGTTCTGGCACAAAGTTCTCCCTGTCATAGTCGCACCAAATCTGTTTTTCCATTCTTTCATTGACCAAGTGTCTCCTTGACCCTGTTTGTGAGTCCAGCCTTATTTTTTGTTTTGGCTGGGCAGACAGGACTCTTATCAGCTGTCAAAGCTGCAGATGTTGACTTTCTGAGTAAACAGAAAGGAAGGTTTGACTGGACCCACGAGGCCAAAACTGCAGAATCAAGGCAATAGTCTGGGTAATAGCCACAGTTGTGTAACTGAAAGTCATAGAAGTTAGAGATGGAAAAACCCTATTGCCTTATCCAGTCCATCTCCCTGCCAGTGCAAATTTATTCCCAATTCGTTTCTAGTTTTCACAGTGCCAACAGGTGGGGCTTTCACCTCTTCCCTTGTGAGTCTGTTCCATGCCTGATACTTCTTGCTGTTGCAGCATTCTTACTGAACTTGGCTACACCTTCATTCTATGCCTCCATCTTAGATGCGTGTACTGTCCTGAGCTCCTCTTTCTCCTTTGTATTTGTGCTCTTTAGATGTTTATAGACTATTTTGTGTCCCTCCTTGGTTGCCACTTAACTAAATTCTACAGACTTTTTCTTTTAGTTTTTCGTTTTAAAAAACAGTCCTCCCATCTCCCTGATAACTGTGAAGAAGTGGGCTGTAGTCCACGAAAGCTTATGCTCTAATAAATTAGTTAGTCTCTAAGGTGCCACAAGTACTCCTATTCTTTTCACTCTTCTCTGAATCCCCTCCAGTTTGTCAACTTGAGGATAGAAGAATGAAGTGACTGTCAACTCAAGGAATATCTCGGGTGGGCAGCAAAAAGGGATTAGCTCCTTGGGTTACAGAGGAATGCAATTCCTATGGTGATGTGCCAGTGCATTCAGCAAAGGGACTAGCAGGTTCAGAAGATGTCTGCTCTCTGACTCACTCTGCTTTCCCCTGTTCAGATTCCCATACCGAGTGTGCCTGCGCTCCAGCCGTCCACCCCCATCCCTGAGCGCCTGGAAGCCATACAACGCTACATCAAGGAGCTTCAGTATCCTTTACTATTATCACAGACACCAAGGAATGATGATCCAGGAAGGGGAAGCAAGGAGACCTTCCAATAGCCAACCATAAGAGAACAGCTCACTCTGTTTCAGCCAGAAGGGGAAATGAAATTTGTTCCCTAAAAGCAGGAAACTGAAGTTGTGACAGTGAGTGGTTTTGCTGTTTTATTCTAATCCTGCCCAATTGTCTCCTGTGGTTAACCCCTTCGTCACAGCAGCATGTGTGTCAGCAGGGCCAAGCTAATGTGTGGTAGGTTTTCTTTAAACCAGACATCTTGAATTCAAGTGGTTGTTCCTTTTAAAACATCCTAATTGAAGGCCCTTGTAGTTATTGTGCTTGCCTAACCCTGCAGGGAGGGCCTGGGACACATTAAAGTCTGGGATTAGAAGATGCTAATCTCCCCTGCCAAGCTTGGGTGTGCTGGTGGTGGGGAATTTGAGCTTCATGCTGAGTCATTTTACTGGGTGCTTTCTACTCTAGGTGGCCAGAACATGATAGCAACTCCTGCTTTTGAGAGTCAGGTGGATGACCAACTCCCAACCATGTACAGCTGCCTGTATGTTTATGGCCTGGCAACAAGACTCCTACATATCCTTGGGCTCTGTGTGCTGGGATGGAGTGAGGATGAGGGCATGTGCAACACAAGTGCATTTTTATCTTGCTGATGGGATATGGACAGGGGCGTCCCTACCCATACACACAGTATGCAGATGCATAGGGCACCAGGAAATTTGGGGCACCAAATTTCCTGGTGCCCTATGCAGCTGCATGCTGCTCCAGCCCCTGCTCCACCCCAGCCCCGCCCCCACTCTACCCATCCCCTGAGGACTGCAGCAGGGTTTGAGCCTGCACTCACCATGTGGTGGTGAGTGGAGCGACCCGGCCCCAGCCTGCTCCATGCTGCCAGCTCCCAGCTGTGCCGCCGGTGAATGCAGAGGGGTGGTTCCCCCTACACCCCAAGGCTGGGAGCCAGGGGAGCAGAGCAGACTGGGGCCGGGTCACTCCACTTCCTGCCGCCCCATGAGTGTGGGGTTGGGCCCACTCTGCACTCACCGGGTGGCAGGAAGTGGAGTGACCCAACCCGCTCTGCCGTGTCGTGCTGGGGGGAGGTTCCCCCCTGCTCCCCAAGCCTGACCCTCCCCCTCTCCCCCCCCTCGCGGAGGGCCTGGGGCCAACCCTTCCCCCCCACACACACACGGGGGGGAGGGGAGGGCTGTGTAGGGCACCAAAATGGCTAGGGACGGCCCTACATATGGAGCTGACTCAAGGTGGGAAGGGAGTCTGCCAGCACCTTTTTGCTAATCCTGGGGTTGTGCTGTTTTATGGATAGATACCAGCCAGCATGAAAGCAAAGTAGGTTTGGCATCATTAGACTGGTCATGATCCCCTGCAGGCAGCAGCAAGAGAGGATTGTTTCAACCCTGTTCAGGTCTGGGAGCCTGTGCTGCTGGAGAGGAGGCTGACCAGAAAATGTGCTGTCAGCAAGAATAGGGAGGGAAATAGATTGCCACTCTGTTTCCTTCCTCTCCCAAGCCAAAGAATGCAAGTGGGAGGAATAGCCAAATGGAAACGCCCACTTTCTCTTTGCTGGTATTTTGTTTGCTGGGTCCTAAGGTCCCTGTGAGAATGGTAACTGATACCTTGATGGTACAAAGAGATTCCTCCAGGCAGATTGCAGTATGTGGGCAACTCTGGCTTCTCAGCTCTCTTCCAGTCTGCATGGCCCCTTAACCTTTTTCCTCCAGGTACAATCATACTGGGACGCAGTTCTTTGAAATTAAGAAGAGCAGACCTCTGACCGGGTAAGTGCTGTCAGCCTTTCTCCTGCTCCTGCCTTCCTCTTTGGGGAACTTGCCACATCTGATGCCTGCTACCCCTGTACTGAGTCTGGCCAAGAATACAGGCTGGACTCTGGGGATTTTGTTCAGTGTCACAGTTCTGTCCTTCGTAAGGAGGTTGGACTCTGCTCAGGGTGCAGTTGGTCAGAGCCATAATTTAGCCTTATTCAAGCAGGAGGGCTGGATTTGTTGCCAAGAGTCAGTAAACTATCTGTTAGACAGAGCTGCTCAGTCTCTGAGCACATCTAATTTATAATCTAGATCATGGGCTTCTGGGGTATTTTGTGTGAAGTAAAACACAGCCCTGCCTTAAACAAGCTCCCCAAAGGCCAAATGTCTCTGCAATTCTTGCTGTCCAGTGTCCTGGAGTGCATTTGGTGCAGAATGTGGACTTGCTAGACTGTTTTTTGGTGACTGAAACTTTATAAAGGAAAAAGAAATATGTGGGGGAGGAAGGAGGTGGTGATGGTGGTGGACACCTCCAGACTGCTGAGCCTTGTAAACCCCCAGGTATGTACACAGAATGAAGTCAATCATCTTCGTGCACCTGGATTCCACATATACAGCTAGGGACCTCTTAGTCTGCTAACCAAACCGTTGTGCCAACATTAATACTGCTGGCCCAAGCCATCACGTATGGGTGGATATTTGGGCATTCCAAACATTTTATGATGTAACCAGGGCAGAATCTGCTGCAGGCCCCTTCCCTGCCCTCAGATGTGAGAAAGCAAGTGTCTCTGGAACTCGGCCTCCTGTCTGAGGCTTCTTATCTTGGTTAGATGCAGTTCCTCTGGATTTATACTCATTGAGATGAAAGGGAATGACTCCAGACTTGCTGAGAGTAGTGTCTGGCATAGAGGGTAGAGCCTGTTTGGCTCAGTGAGGGGAAACTCCACAGCAGCAGTGTTAGAAGGGAATGGCAAAAGACTGAGTTTGAATTTAATTTATTCCTAAAGGGTTTTCTCCTCTCCTGTCTGCCTTAATAGTCTTCCTGTCTCCTTGCAACCTGCCCTGCATATATGCCGCCCAGCAACTGAATTCACCAGTCTTGCTCAATGCAAACTCCTTTAATTCTCCTCCTCCATCTCTCCCCCTTGTGCTGTCTAACAGGCTAATGGACCTGGCCAAAGAAATGACCAAAGAGGCCCTGCCAATCAAATGCCTGGAAGCTGTGATCCTGGGAATGTATCCTTTCCTCTTAGAAACATGCATGTGTGCCCACCCTAATGCGTTCTCCCCCTGTAGAGCCCTGCAAATCTGGGGATATCCACTTTATATCAGATGTGGATATCTGTTGAGCATGTTTGCGGATCATGGATTGGCTGCAGATACAAACTTTGTATCTGCTCAGGGCTCTACTCCCCCTGCTCCCTTATGCCCCTCTCATGCTGCTGGTGCATTGCAAGGGACCAAGCAGAGAACCCGAGTAGCGGAGTTAGTTCTTCAGGGTCACTTCTCTCCCCCGCTTTAGGATTGAGTGTTTATTCCTTTTGAACATAACAGGGAGAGGGAGAGAAGAAGGATGTGGGGATTAAACAGGAAGGAAATAGCGTCAGGTTAGAAATCCCGTTGCATAGTGGGTATGTTTCACTCACTATATGTCACCTTGCACTTTCTTTGCAATGCAGGCAGACATGGAAGGGATCCTGTCAGACTTTCCCTTGAATAATGCTTGCTTTTAGTCCCAGACTTGTGCCAGCCCCTCTGTGTACATACGTCCTGGGAAGCACATCTCCTCTGGGACCTGCCAGGTTGAGTCCACCTGGGGCCACGTTTCTTTCTTTATTGGAGTTGCTTCAGTGATGGGGAAGTATTTGAAAGCTAGGTTACTTGGCCTGTGTGTTTTGGAAAGTTAGTTGTCTTCGGAGGCAGTGCTTTTATGAAATGCCAGTCTGGGGATCTCGATGGCTCAGGAGAATGGGTTATGTTTTACCTGTAGGGCACCAGGTCCAATTCCTCCTAGGCTGATAGTGATGGTCAATTTAACTAACTTGCCTGGTGGCCTCTGTGTGAAATGAGATGGTGGCCCTGGTCCTCCCAGCTCCTAGCAGGACAGGTGTACACAGCACAAAACTGCCATTATAACTTCCCTTTGTGGGCAGTCTTGGAGACTGGAGAAGGTGAAGACTGAGCATCCCTCTGATCCCAGGGCAGGGTAGACTTGTCTCGTGGGGGGCTGGAGCTATACCTGCTCTGGGGATAGACAGGATTTGGTCTCCAGGGATGTCAATCGGGTACTTGTCGTCAGCAGTGAATCTGCTTTCCAGTCTAGGCTGGCTGAGATGTTTTGGGGGATGGGGAGGAAGAATCTTACTCCTTTCCTTGGCATCACCAGTTTTTTCCTGAATGGGGTGACATTGCCAGTTACCTCACCAACAACATGCCCACACTGGAGCGTTTCCCCATCAGCTTCAAAACTCACTTCTCAGGGAACTACTTCCGCCACATTGTGCTGGGAGTGAACTTTGGGGGCCGCTATGGGGCACTGGGCATCAGCCGTCGAGAGGAGCTCATGTACAAGGCGCCCACCTTCCGCACACTGAGCGAGCTGATCTTCAACTACGAGGAGGCATACCACCGCTGTTGGCACGTCCTCAAAAAGGTGAAGCTGGGCCATTGTGTGTCCCATGACCCACACAGTGTGGAGCAGATTGAGTGGAAGCACTCCATTTTAGACGTGGAAAAGCTGGGCCGTGAGGACTTCCGCAAGGAGCTCGAGAGACATGCCCGGGACATGAGGCTAAAGGTGAGAAGCTGGGAAGTACTTGGGAGACTTGCCTGCTGCTCTTGGAGGCTGCAGGTGTGAATTTTGTTCTTGGTGCCAAAGCCTTAATTGGATCCTGGCGCTAGTATGCTGGGAGGTACAGATCCTGCTGGGTTGAGGTGGGGGTGGGGGAAGGCAGGGAGGTGGAGGAAGGGGGTAAGGATTCTCCTCTCCTTTCTGCAGACCCTGACCCCAATGGGGTGCAGACCCCTCTTCATTTGGCAGATGTAGATGCTGTGTATCGAGGTACAGCTCTTGCCCAAGAGCTGGGAATATGAATCCTGTCCCTTCAGGTATGCCTGTTGGGCATTGGACAGATGAGCCAAGATACATACTTGCTCAGAAGTTTTGGGTGGAAGGGTGTGCTTGAGACTCTCTAAAGGCAGGGTACAAGCTACATAATGCTCATCACTGCCTTCTCTTTTTTGCTTTTAATTTTCTTCATTTCACTGTCACTCCTTCCCAGACAATGAAGTACCTTGGGCATTGTGTTCCCCAGCAACTGCTAGCCATGGCTTCTCTCCCACCTTGTTGTTTTCCTCCTGCAGATCGGCAAAGGAACAGGGCCACCATCTCCCACGAAGGATAGGAAGAAAGATGTGTCCTCACCACAGCGGGTCCAGTCCAGTCCGCACCGCCGCAACAGCCGTGGGGAGAGGCGGTGAGTGGGGTTGGTGGATGGCTTGTTTGGAGGAGCTTTCTCAGTCGTGCTATAGGATTTCCCCTCCATCCCCTCACACCCTTGGATAAAGTAGATTTCTGAGAACTCTCTTGGCATGGTCCATAACTGGGGAGATGTCTCTCAGCTGCATTGGTGTGGTCCCCCGCACCTCCAGTGTGTCTCCCTTTCAGCTCTGTCATTGCTTTCTCTACATGAGTTGCTGCCTTCCCACTTTCAAACTATAGCTGGAATTAGCGGCGGGCTGCAGGTAGAGGAGGGTCACTCCATCTAATGCCTAATATGGGGTGGGTCACACACATGACCCCCAAAAGCGACGTCTGAACCTACATCATTGGTCAGTGAGAACTGGTGTGCTTTTGAGGCTGCTTCCAGGCCTACCCCAAATCCATCTTCCCAGGAAAGTATCTCAAGTGGAGGTGCTGGGCTTCCCACTCTGTATTCCAGCCTCTTGTGGGAGTTAGCGGGGTGAAGAAGAGCCACCCTGTCACTCTAGCAGTATGGGATCTGGTGAAGGGGATGAAACTCCTCTTCTCATGTTGGCACTTCTCAATCTGTATGGGTTACCCTGTCAGAGGAGAAATTGAGAATGCCTCTGAATATCTACTTCCCTCTTTCTTCACAGGCTGTCTGGTGAGAAGAAGCCTGCCGAATCCAAAGCCATGCCAGACCTCAATGGTTATCAAATCCGGGTGTGAGGAGAGGCACACCTTGTGTGCCTGGCTCCATTGACTCCTTGCTGGCCACACTTGAAACGAGGATCCACCTGTAGCAAGCTCAACATGGGGAAGGGGAAGTGGGAATGGAGGACTGGTCTTCCAAGGTACTTCTATCAGGCCTATTCCTGAGCTGTATCCTGGGGGTCAGACGAGTCACCTGCCTGTCTTGGGAAGAGCACTTTTTAATTCAACAAAACAAGTTTTTAAGAGAACAGATCTGCCAGTTGATGGGAAGGTGCTGCAGGGTGCTTGGGAAGGCTCCTGCTGTGACATGGTGAGGGGTGGAGCGAGTGAGGCCAAGCAGAGCTCAGGCTTTGCATGGAATCCTTTGGACGGACAGACGACAGGTGGGGCATTTTATCCACAGTGCCTCTTCCTCTTCTATGCTGAAGGTCTCAAGCCAGCACAAAGCCCCTGGGCTTGAAGGAGGGAAAGGTATTGGAATGGAAAGGCCCCTGTCTCTGGTAAAGGAAGGATTTCTGGTTTTGTAACTTCTGTGTATTTTGCTACTGTCACTCTTGTTGGGGAGGGAGTGAAATGCACGATCACCTTCCCCATCCCCTGTGCCTGCAGGGAAGAGGAATAAGCCCTGGAATAATTAATACTTGCATCACTAATGAAAATGCAACCTGTCAGTGGTGTTGAGGGCCTCATATGCAGTGAATCCACCACTCTAACGTTCTGTCTGGTCTGCAGTGTATCCCCCTATGGATCATTGACTCCATGGGGGATGAGTGTGTCTCTCCTTTCCTGTGAGGTGCTGTGGATACTTCCCTTCATGGCAGGCTGTTCAGGAAATGCCCATACCGTTGTAATGTGGAAACAGGCTGCTGGACAGCTCTATCTGTGGGGATGGGTGCTTAACCAGTAGGATGGTTGGAAAATGTGTCTCCCCACTCACTTCTCAGTGACACCTTGCACTTCCCCCTTACAGAGTCTGGCTTCATCTCACCCTGTGAGGAAGGGCTACTTTTCCTGGATGCTCAGAGCCACAGTGGAATTTTGGGAACCAACCTTAAAACAGAAGGGTACAGGCTCCAGTGCAGTGCTCTGCTCAAGGGGCCAATGTGCTGGTGATTCCTTAAGCAAAATAAGATGGTGTTTTGTGGTCATGTTGCCGTGTTCACCCCCATCCCTTGTCTACATCCACAGCTGGCCAGTGCCTGCTGGAGTGCCTCTAAAAGTGAGGCATACTACCTCTAGGAACACATAGGGCACTGCCACAGCAAATCCCATGTGGTACCCCCCGAGGATGCTTTCAGGAAACATGCTATTGGGGGTAGGGTGGGGAAATGTTTCTCAGATTGAAATCAGGTGGGGCGCTGTACTGTTGCTGTAGGGTAATAGCTCCCAACCCTTTCATGCACTGGTCTACCACTCCATGCTCCCTCTTTCCCTTCCTTCATCTGTGGAGGTTTTGGCGCAACCCATGCTCAGGCTCGGCAAGAGGGGCAGAAATAAATGAGATGTGCTGCCCCATCGAGTCAAAGCCAGAGGCTCGTGCCCAAGTTAAACTTAGGGTACCAGCCCAATCAAGATTGAAATGTCTATGGGGAATCACGGTTCCAGGGTATCCCATTTCTCCTAACTGTTCAGTCTGGCCCATTTTGATTGCAGTGGTCGGTCTGTCCTAGGAGCAGGGAGCATAGCTGTGTGCCTATCCTGCTCCTGTTTGTTCTGACAGTGTACTTAACAACACTAATTATGTTAATGATTACCATTCTCTAGCAAGAGGGGCTGGCCCTTCCACCTGACTAAAGCCTTGGCAGCTCACAAATTTCCATTCAAAGGAGAGGCACAGCTAAGCAGTCCACATGCTGCATGTCAGAACTGAGGAGCATTGGCAGATATGCATGTGTGGCCTAAAACTTGGCCGGGGTGCTGTAGCTCATGGCAGAATTGATTCAGAGAGGGAGGTGGGAAGCAGGGGTGAGTGGGTCAAGCCTGAGGCATGTTGACATAGATAGGGGATGGCAAAATGTTTAACATTCGGTCCTGTTACACTACAAAAAGTGTCTAAACATTTATGAAATCTGGTGCTGTATCCAAATCATGTTAAACATTCTGTATTCTTTCTTGCCTGAGTGCATGTTGGAAGCATGATTCAGACTATAACTATGGTGGATAACTGGGCTTTCTGGCGTAACATGAGAGGGCCACAGATATTTTGGTAGTGTCGAATGGGGCCTTACATCAAGTAATATCTTCTGTCAATTGAAGCAGTATTAACCCTTAAAGCCCTGCTCCAGAGGGCTCTAACTGACCCCTTACAGGTGCCTAATCATAATCTTTCACCACCAATTAGTTATTCTGTGCTTATCACTGCAGTTTGTCAGTCCAGGCTCCTTTTTAACTATCTGTCCTTTCTGCAGCATGTTGTGTGACAGGAAGAAAGATTGAATAGGGAGGTAGCATAAATTGCTGCTTACCCAAAATTACGTGGGTAATCCTGAAGAATTTAACAAAAGTAACAGGTGCCAGTCTCCCGAACATAAATAATGAAAATAGTGATTGGAGTAGGAGAACTGGAATTGGAGTCTCCTACCTCACTGCCCTAACCACTGGATTACTGAGTCATTCCCTCTCTCACTCTGCCCCATGACTGTTTTAACTATTTAGTCACAGTGGAACAGCTTCAAGAGAGGAGAATATCCCCTCGTGCAGTGATTAGAGCAATTCCTTGAGAAGGGGAGACCCTGTTCAAATCACCCTCCCTGGGAGGAGGTGGAATTGAACCTAGGTCTCCCACGTCCCAGGTGAGTGCTCTAATCACAGGGCAGCTCCAGCTCTTGCCATTTTGTGTGGCGCACAGGTGGTGCTTAAATCATTTCCTCAGGAAATGCCTTGGGGGCCTAAACTGTCTGACTCCAGGTGGCCGGTTCCCATTTGTGGATCACTAAGCAGAGCTAGGTACTCATCCTTGAGAGAGATGAGGCTAATCACACACCTCTAGCTTAAGTGGCTCTCAGCCTAGTATATTGGCTCTTGTGGATTTCATTCTGGGGCCCCTATTTCTCCCCATTCATTGAATAGGAGCCTTGGTGCCTAACTTGGCTTTGTGTATCACAGTGGTATGCCTGTGATTTTTTTTTTCTAGGTGCCTAAAAGTTAGGCACTGTGACACTCAGAGTAGGAAGTCCCTTCATGGATCTCACCCTTGATTCTCTATAGATGGATAGGAGAAGAATGAGAGAATTGTGCAATC